CTTTCCTGTGTTCTCTTTCTAGTTCCTTTTATCTTCCTAAATGATACCACCTCTATATTCATGTTATATAAATGTGTTTAAAATTTGTTCCCTTTTTATTTGTAAAAGAGACACTTACACTTATCACACATGAATTGCTTCTGTAATAGTAAGCCGTATTATGAACAACATGCCTTCAGTTCTGAACTCTAATGTGTTCCTTATCTTAATACATGGAAGAGGACAATCTTTCTGATGAACTTATCTAGGAGGACATAAGGGGAGGAGTAGATGTGACTATGACGAAAATGCATTGTATAAAATTCTCAAACAATTAATAAAAATATTTTAAAGAAAATATATTTAAATTACACAGTATCAGAGTTGACATGAGCCTCATTATGTCATGCATGCCATATGTTGATGGGGGACCTCCTTCAGCAATGACCTTTAAGAGGCTAGACTAAGTTGGGGTATGACTTAGGGTACCACCCAGCTCAGCCTTTTCTTTCCATGCTCCACACTTTGATGTTGAACCCCCATTCCTGTTCCATGAATTTTCCCTTTTAATAAAGAAAAACCTTAGAATACTCTATTTGGATTATCTTGGGATTGTTTGACTCATGTTCAGCATCGTCAGGTGCTGCAAAGTGGGAACAAGTCCAAACTGGCTTATGAGGACATTCCCTACCCCTGCAGTTCTTCTGGTTAGCCAGCTCGGTGCATTCCTCACTGGTGGTTCACAACCCACATACCACGGCCTCTTCAAATAACAATCCCTGTGGTATGCACCATTCACGACTCATGACTAGCTGAAACTTTTGGGCACAATTCACGACTCAGGACTGGATGAAAGCTTTGGACTCTTTCCTTATTCTGGTCACCAAATCTAAGAATCACTTTGATTGTCCTTAATTACTGCTCTTAATTTGGTAAACATAGCATATTTATCAGTATTTAAGTAGGTGACAGCATGTGTAAACAGAGTGAATGATCCCAGAGAATGCACCGGCTTTCCCTCTGCTTATCTCCTCTATGAGGCTGTAACAGGGACACCTGTTGGCCAATAGAGTTTATTACACCTACTAACTGAAATATTCTATAGTATAAATTTGAATTACATGATTTCTGATGAAATTATGATTCAGGACTTTAATAATTATTTTGCTTATGCTATGGATGGTATTCTACAAGGCTTATGTGATTTTCCTTATACATACATTTATTTGATTTTGGGAATTAGTTTTGTTTTTCATATTATCTTGTTAAGAAAATAGTTTGATAACAGAACCAAGAAGGATGCACTGTTTGAAATGATACAGCTTTTACAGACTAATAATGAACAGCTAGTTGTGAAAATTAATACAATGGAGAAGAATAGCAACAATTTGACAGAGAAAATCCAGCCATTGTCAAAGAGAACTGAGACTTTATATGAAAGAATTCATGCTGTTGAAATTAATAATCAGAATCTGTTGAAAAGTTACAATAGATTAATGAATAAGGTGTCTCTCCAAAGAGGGAAAATGCAAGCCATCAAAATTATGTCCAAGGATGAGATGTTATCTTTACTAGACAAATTTCATACATTGAAATCTTCAATGAGGTCATCAGAATGGAACACTGAACATGAGATTCAGACTTTACAAAAGGCAGTGGTAAAAATAATTGAAAAGATTGAGGAAATTATCAAAACTGGTTAGCAGGGACAGAAGGTACAAGGACAGAATTTAGCCTCATCAGAACATGCCAGATTCAGGGATGACTTACCCAAAGTTTTAACTGCCTGTTCAGTAATTTTATCTTAGAAGCCATCTGACGCAAAGTACCCTAAGGTAGTCAGTGAACGTACATGGCAACATAGGTATGAACAATTTAAAAGGAATGAAACAAGCAATAGTATTTTATGATCTACACTCACCATTTTTTAGGGAAATGGTGAAAACATGGGCTTCAAGCAATAAGGACATCCCACACAATTAGCTTCATTTAATCTCAGCAGTCTTAGAAGACAAACCCCAGCTTCTATGGAAATGGTATTAGTGAGAAGAGGCAAAAGTTATAGAACAATAGGAGAAACCAAAAGGATTTGAGACTTCCCAATATCAAATTGTTGGTGAGGGTGGGGAGATGGGGAGAGAGAAGGAGATGAGGGGGAGAACTTGGGGGAATGGGACGGTTGGGATAAAGGAAGGATGGATATGGGAGAAGGGAAGTAGATATCTTAATTAAGGGAGCCATTTTAGGGTTTGCAAGAGACTTGATTCTAGAGGGGTTCCCAGGTGTTCAAGGAGAGGTCCCTAGCTTCTTCCTTGGGCAGCTGAGGAGAGGGTGCCTGAACTGGCCTTGTCCCATAGTCACACTGATGAATATCTTGCATATCTCCATAGAACCTTCCTCTGGCAATGGATGGAGATAGAGACAGAGACCCACATTGGAGCACTGGACTGAGCTCCCAAGGTCCAGATGAGGAGCAGAAAGAGGGAGAACATGAACAAGGAAGTCAGGACTGCAAGGGGTGCACCCACCCACTGAGACGATGGGACTGATCTAATGGGAGCTTACCAAGGCCAGCTGGACTGGGATTGATGGAGTATATGATCAAACCAGACTCTCTGAATGTGGCTGACAATGAGGGCTGACTGAGAAGCCAAGGACAATGGCACTGGGTTTTGATCCTATTGTATGTACTGGCTTTGTGGGAGGCTAGTCTGTTTGATGCTCACCTTCCTAGACCTGGATGGAGGGGGAAGGACCTTGGACTTCCCACAGGGCAGGGAACCCTGACTGCTCTTTGGACTGGAGAGAAAGGGGGAGGAGGGAGAGGAAGGGAAATGGAAGGAGGGGAGGAGGTGAAAATTTTTAATAATAATAATAAAAAAATTCTGCACAGCAAATGAAACAATCAGTCAAGTGCAAAGAAAGTCCAGAAAGTAAAAGAAAACCTTAACAACACATATGATGGAGGATTAATAAACAGAATATACAAATATTTTAAAAATAACAATCAAGAAAGCAAAGTATTACCCAATCCAAAAGTTTAGAGGCTTAGAAAACAATGTAGTATATTTAAATACATCCTGTGAATGAGATACATAGACTGAATTAGAGTTTGAGGAATAGAAATCAAAATTTAGTGGGCCGTGATATGAGGCTTCCCCAGAAAAGTAAGTTTAAACCCATATATAAACATACATATGTGTATGTATATAGATGTATACACAGACACACAATCATACATGCGATCTCTCTTGACAGACTTTTATGACTCTGCTTCATAAAGTTCACATACACAAGGAGAAGCAGAAGGATGTTGCAGGGAGGGGTTGCTTGTTTGTCCTGGCCACCCAGCTAGCTTAGCCCCAAAATAATCACATGGAAATTATATTAATTAAATCACTGCTTGGCCCATTAGCTCTAACTCTTTATTGGCTAGCTCTTACATATTAATATAACCCATCTTCATTATTCTGTATATCACCACAAGGTTGTGGCCTTCCAGTCAGGTTTCAGCATGTCTATCTCCGGCCGTGGGTTCACGGCATCTCTCACTCAGCCCTTCTTACTCCCAGCATACATTTCTGTCTTTCCTGCCTACCTAAATTCTACCCTATCAACAGGCCCAAAGCAGTTTCTTTATTAACCAATGAAAGCAGCACAAATACAGAAAGATCTCCTACACCAGAAAGAAAGGGAAATTTTCTTGTGAAATTGCTAAACTTATCAGTTTAAAATCCATGGTGCTACTAATGAATGTGAGTATACCAACAGGAGTTGATGCTGCAATTTTGAGTGAGTCCAAGGCCATGTTGGAAGCAGACTTTTTTTCTGTGGTCCTAAAACTTAAAGTTTTGAAGTGATCAGAAAAATCTGTTCACATTGTAAGATATGTATAATCTGTGAGTGGTGGTTGTTAATTGTTTCCCCATTGTCCAATGCTTACTTGTATTGGTATTGGATCAAACATCTGAGAACCACATTGACACATAAAATTGTCATCTTATTGGCACTATCTCTTGTGAAAGGTCAGCCTGAAGTAGAGGCACTATGAACAGTGGTAGATCAATATTGCTCTCAAATCTACACACTTTCTGGCAAAGTAGAACCACAGAAGAGGGGAGAGGGAAGATACTCTTATGTTTCTACAGAAATGAACTGATCCAGTGATGCTGTTTCTGAGTGTAAAAAATAAGTTGGGAGAGAAAGATAAACAAATATGGTCATCCTCAGAATAAAAAGATTAGTAAAGATTCTCAGGGGTCAATAGGGCTATGACTTACAGATAGAGCACATGATTTTTACAAAGGCTCTGGATTTTACTCTCATAATTAAAAAGACAATATTTCTTAGAGCAGCGTATTATCCAGCAATATTTTATTCCTTACACATGAAACAGTCAACGTTGTCATCAGAGGACAGGAAAACAGATCTAACTTTTATGAAAGTGAAGCTCCCATCTGAATAAATGATTATCCTACAATAAAAAATTTCTCCAGCAATTATATTGTCTGCTCCGACTTGTCATTTTTTCTCTCTACATGCACTAGATTCCAACTATACTGATTGTACACACTTAAGTGTAGTTATTATTGAAAATGGATGCAAGTACTAAAAATTACACAATCAATAGTCTCTACAAAGTAGGCAATTACTTTAAAACATAAAGACAACTGAAAAATAATTTTTTCATGTGATTATTGTGGAAGAATTTTTTGATTATGCCTGAAAGTATTTAAGTATAACTTACTATATGAATGGTTAGTATGTATTGCTACTTACCTGTACATTTGCTACCAAACTTTAAATCTGGCTAAATATATATCATAAATGAAATCAACCTTTTTTTCTCTGCTTTGGCTCCAATATTAAAATTATCATGTTCAAATGTCAGTGTCAATGTAGCGGTTCCATCATTCACAGTTGGATTTGTCATAGTGGTGACAGTGTTTGTCATAGCCATCTCCTACATCTATATCCTCATCACCATCCTGAAGATGCACTCCACTGAGGACCGCCACAAGGCCTTCTCCACCTGCACCTCCCACCTCACTGCAGTCACTCTGTTCTATGGGACCATCACCTTCATCTATGTGATGCCCAAGTCCAGCTATTCCACAGACCAGAACAGGGTGGTGTCTGTGTTCTACATGGTGGTGATACCCATGCTGAACCCCCTCATCCACAACCTCAGGAATAAAGAGATTAAAGGTGCTCTGAAGAGACAGATTGGTAGGAAAATATTTTCTTAGAGAGATTTATTATGCTGTAGCAATTGATATAGCAGTAGCATTTTATAGATATAGTAATAAAAGGAAGTTGAATGTCTATGATTGAAAAAGTCTGCATGATCTGTTCTTAGCAAATGAGAAGCACTGCCATAAATATAGAAACTCAACTTTCAAATTGCTTATGAAAGAACAGGGTCATAGTAAGTTCCTTTTAATAAAATCAAATACAGTTTTTAATTAATGGTATAAATTAATTAACATAAAACAATCTGATGAAAACAATTCGGAGTTATTTTCATATTTTTTTCAAATAGTTCATCATTAATTTTTAAGAGATTGCATCTTAACTGTCCCCAAAATCTCTTGAGTTTGGTAAGTATCTGTCCCCTACTGCTGTTGAGAAAGATCTAGAATAAGAAAGGTTGAATCTAGTTAGCCCTATTTAATTTACAAGAGGCATGGCATAGAGAAGACACTGGTACTCAGAATATTCTTTGTCTCTTCTCTTTATTGATCACAAACTAAGGGGTCTTGTTCCACCATGAGTTTTTTCAGTGATGTAAAACCGCAGATATACATAAACAGAGATGCTTTATAATGGACAGAGATCTCAAAATTACTGAGCTAAGAATAAACCTTTATATTCACTGCCAATGGGTATTTGTTCTAGCAATAGTAAACTTACTAACACCTATCACAAGTCTTCAGAATGTGGCAGGTAAACACTAGCTTATTCTGGGATAAACCTGATAACTATGGTTATCTCTGTATACAGTAAGAAAAATGACAGGGTGTGGAATCCCATCCCAGCCTTCATCCAGGTACACCTCCTTCTCTTTCTCCCTTCCCCCTGGGGCCACAAGATCTCCCCAGAGCTGCTCCCTGGCACTCTGAGCCTGGGCTGTGGGCTCAGCCGGGCAGGGGCAGTTCCTGTGCTTTGAGAACCTGCCTGACAGGCAGGCCCTGTGTCAACTCAGCCACATTCCTGGCCAGCAAGAGACAGTGATCTTCTAGCAGACATCCATTGGAGGAGGGGTGAGCTTGCTCCTGGCCCAAGGGCTTCGACTAGGAGGAATTCAGACTTTCCCCGCCCCCCTTGACTTTCTGGTTGCCCTACAGTGGTGGCTACACCCTGCAGAGCTCTCCCGAATCCCATCCCAGCCTTCATCCAGGTACACCTTCCTCTCTTCCCCCCTTCCCGCTGGGGCCACAAGATCTCCCCAGAGCAGCTCCTTTGCGTGCTGGGCCAGGGCTGTAAGTGCAACCTGGCAGGAGGGAGTGCCTGTGTTTCAATAGACTGCCTGAGGAAAGGTAGGCCTTCTGTCAGTGAAGTCCCTGCCCAACAAGGGAACCTGACCTGGTACCAGAAGATCCAATATAGAGGAGTTGAAAGAAAAGATGGGCAGACGCCAAGGCAAGAACACCTCCAACAATCTAAAAAACAACATGAAATCACCAGATCCCAACAACCCTACAATAGAAGGACTTGAACCTCTTAATTCAGAAGAATTGGAAAAAAATACCATGATGAAAGCAATAGAGTCCCTTAAACAGGATATGAATAATTCCCTTAAAGAACTGGATGAGAAGTACAACAAAAGGATTGAAGAAATGAGTAAAGAAATGGATGAGAAGTATAACAAAAAGTTCGAAGAAATGAGTAAATCCGTGAATGATACACTGGGAAACCAAGAAAAAACAATCAAACAGGTAATGGAAACAGTTCAAGAATTGAAAACTGAAATGGAGGCAATGAAGAAAACACAAAACGAGGGCCGGCTGGATATGGAAAATCTAGGTAAATGAACAGAGACTACAGAATCAAGCATAACCAATAGGATACAAGAGATGGAAGAACGAATCTCAGAGTCTGAAGATACCATAGAGAAAATAAATGCTCTGATCAAAGAAAACAGCAAATCCAACAAATTCTCATCACAAAACATTCAAGAAATCTGGGACACAATAAAAAAAACCAAATCTAAGAATAATAGGGATTGAAGAAGGAGAAGAACTGCAGATCAAAAACCCAGAAAATATATTCAACAAAATTATAGAAGAAAACTTTCCCAACAAAAAGAACGATATCCCTATGAAGGTTCAAGAAGCATACAGAACACCAAATAGGCTGGATCAAAAAAAAAATCCCCTCGCCATATAATAATCAAAACACAAAACATACAGATTAAAGACAGAATATTAAGAGCTGCAAAGGAAAAAGGTCAAGTAACTTATAAAGATAAACCTATCAGACTTACACCAGACTTCTCTATGGAAACCATGAAAGCCAGAAGGTCCTGGATAGAGGTACTGCAGAAACTAAGAGACCATGGATGCAAACCCAGACTACTATACCCAGCCAAACTATCATTCACTATCAATGGAGAAAACAAAATATTCCAGGATAAGAACAAATTTAAACAATTCGTAGCCACAAACCCGGCATTACAGAAAGTAATAGAAGGAAAATCACAACCCAAGGAATCCAACATTGCCAACACTGCCTACAAAAACTCAGACATCTAGCTACCCTTCACGAGCTTAACTCAAAGAAGGGACACATACAAACTCTATTAAACAAACAAACAAGAAATAATAATAACCAGAGTCAACAACCACTGATCATTAATATCAATTAATATTAATGGACTCAATTCACCTATAAAAAGGCACAGACTAAAGACTGGATACGAAAACAGGATCCAACATTCTGCTGTTTACAAGAAACACACCTCAACCACAAAGACAGACATCTACTCAGAGTAAAGGGTTGGGAAAAGGTTTTTCAAGCAAATGGACCTAAGAAAAAAGCAGGTGTAGCCATTCTAATTTCCAACAAAATTGACTTCAAACTAAAATCAATCAGAAGAGATGGAGACGGACATTTTATACTCATAACAGGAACAATTCATCAGAAGGAAGTCTCAATCCTGAATATCGATGCCACTAATATAAAGCATCCTACTTATGTAAAAGAAACTCTTCTAGAACTCAAGGCAGTCATCAATCCACAGACACTAATAGTAGGAGACTTGAACACTCCTCTCTCACCAATAGACAGGTCAATCAGACAGAAACCTAGCAGAGAAATAGGAGAATTATTGGAGGTACTGAATCAAATGGACTTAACAGATATCTATAGAACATTCCACTCAAATAGGAAAGAATATACCTTCTTCCCTGCTGCTCATGGAAACTTCTCGAAAATTGACCACATACTGGGTAACAAAGCAAACTTCCACAGATACAAAAAAATATTAGTAACCACCTGTGTCTTGTCAGACCACCATGGATTAAAGTTAGAATTCAAGAACAGTGCTACCACCAGGAAGCCAACAAACTCATGGAAGTTGAACAGTCAACTACTGAATCACCCCTGGGTCAAGGAAGAAATAAAGAAAGAAATTAAACTCTTCCTTGAATTTAATGAAAATAAAGACACAACATACTCAAACCTATGGGACACTATGAAAGCAGTGCTAAGAGGAAAGTTCATAGCACTAAGTGCCCAATTAAAGAAAACGGAGAAAGCACACATTGGAGACTTAACAGCACACTTGAAAGCTCTAGAAAAAAAAAGAAGCTGATAAACCCAGGAGGACTGGGTTTAAAAAAACCAGACTGGAAATAATCAAATAAAAGACTTTAATAATCAAATAAAAGACTGGAAATAATCAAACTAAGGGCTGAAATCAACAAAATAGAAACACAGGAAGCAATCCAAGGAATCAATGAAACAAAAAGCTGGTTCTTGGAGAAAATCAACAAGATCGACAAACACCTATTCAAACTAATCAAACGGCAGAGAGAGAACATGCAAATTAATAAGATCAGAAATGAAAAGAGGGACATAACAACAGACACAGAGGAAATTCAGAAAATCATTAGATCTTACTATGAAAATTTATATGCCACAAAGTTGGGAAATGTAAAAGAAATGGACAATTTTTTAGTTAAGTACCATATACCAAAGTTGAACCAAGACCAGGTGAACAATCTAAATAGACCTGTCAGTCGTGAAGAATTAGAAGCTGTTATCAAAAATCTCCCTACCAAAAAAAGTCCAGGACCAGATGGTTTCAATGCAGAATTCTACCAGAACTTCCAAGAAGAGCTAATACCTATACTCCTTAATGGATTTCACAATATAGAAACAAAAGAATCATTGCCAAACTCTTTTTATGAAGCTACGGTTACTCTGATACCAAAACAACACAAAGACACAACCAAGAAAGAGAATTACAGACCAATCTCACTCATGAACATTGACGCAAAAATGCTCAATAAAATACTGGCAAACCGAATCCAAGAATACATTAGAAAAATCATTCATTATGATCAAGTGAGCTTCATCCCAGAGATGCAGGCTTGGTTCAACATATGCAAATCTATCAATGTAATCCATCATATAAATAAACTGAAAGAAAAAAACCATATGATCATTTCATTGGATGCTGAAAAAGCATTTGACAAAATTCAACACCCATTTATGATAAGGGTGTTGGAGAGATTGGGTTTACGAGGATCATACCTGAATATAATAAAAGCAATATATAGCAAGCCGACAGCTAACATCAAATTGAATGGAGAGAAACTCAAAGCCATTCCACTAAAATCAGGAACACAACAAGGCTGTCCACTCTCTCCATACCTCTTCAATATAGTGCTTTAAGTTCTAGCAATAGCAATAAGACATCATAAGGGGATCAAGTGGATTCGAATTGGAAAGAATGAAGTTAAACTTTCACTATTTGCAGACGATATGATAGTGTACATAAGCGACCCCAAAAACTCTACCAAAGAACTCCTACAGTTGATAAACACCTTTAGTAATGTAGCAGAATACAAGATCAACTCCAAAAAATCGGTTGCCCTCCTATACACAAAGGACAAAGAAGCAGAGAGGGAAATCAGAGAAACATCACCTTTCATGATAGCCACAAATAGCATAAAATATCTTGGGGTAACTCTAACCAAGGAAGTGAAAGACCTATTTGACAAGATCTTTAAGACCTTGAAGA